AGAGAGAGAGAGAGAGAGAGAGAGAGAGAGAGAGTATATGTTACCGAACTGACTATTTAAAGAATAAGATTTTACAAAAATATAATATATACTACACATGTCTGATCAGGGATTACGCGTAATTACTGTGGCCATTTTTCATGGATTTCACGTATTTCCTGATTAGTTCAGTGATTACGTGAAATCTCCGAGGGAAACAGGGATTAAGCGTTTTCACTGAAATATTCAGAGATTACGCGTATTCACTAGGTATGCGTTCTTACTGTAACCGGCTCTGAGAAAACCCGTCGGAAGGTGGGAGAAGCTATTCTGAGATATCGCAAAAAAAATAGGCCCTGAACTTCATTTTTATCGAAAACGAAATTATATGAAATTCAGAAAGATAGACCATTATTCTACATCATATTATGTTTAAGAAATTTGCTCAAAAGTGATTGAAAATATTTTTAAATAATTATTTTTGAGGACATATCGTCGCCGTATTACGCTGAATTCTGTCTTAGATACAAACAGGGGGAATATTTACTCAATCGGTAAGACACTTCTTTCCACGGGAACCCTCACATATCATATACCCACAGAATTCTACACTTAGGTGTAGAATTATGTGTATGTGTAGAATTCTGTGTATATACCAAAAGAAAGAGAATTTTATTGCCGTTTCGGGAAAACCCAGTGCGCATGAATGTGTGAACATTACCAGAGACACTAACAACATTATAAATAGTTCTGTGAGTTGCGCATGTTGTAGTTTCACTTCTGAAATGGTATTTGTCATGAATGCAGTTTAACATCTAATGTACCATTTCCTGCCTTTCAAACCAAATATGAACTGTTCGTTATTGACTTTATGTTCTTTGTTCTGCTCTACGAAGTGTTTTTTTCCGAGTTTACTGTAAGTAAACTGATTGTTTTCTGTTTCCAAGTGGTCGAGCGCTTTTGTTTACATAATTTAATTGATTCAAGATGGCGGGCCGATCAGCTGAGTGGCGTATTTCATCAATGTGGAACGATCTCAGTCGGATTGGAATGAGACAAATCACACTCGAAAATGAATTGGATGAACTGATTATTGATTATTTCAATGCAAGACATATTGATTGTGAAGACAGTAGATTCTAGTTTGGAGGAGGAGACACATGATGAACCAATTACGACGACGTCCGTGGCCGTGACACACCCACACACACCCACACACACCCCTGCTCATGACCATGATCTGGAATCTGGAATCTGGAACTTCATGAAGAAGAAGTCCTGGTTCCTGTTCAACCAATTGGCATAACATCATCAGAAGGTAAGCAAGGTTTACCATACCCGCAGTCCCAGCTTCTATACTAGTCTTTATAACTTATAATTATCAGCTAGATTAAAGAACTGCGTTATATTCTTCTAGATTCTATCCTACCTCTAGCAGTGTATTAGAATTGGAGGAACTAGATCCATCACTATACGGTAGCTTAACTCTTGGAACGAGACCAAGTCTGTCAACGTTATTATAGACTTAGATCAAGATTGTACTAGACTAGACTAGACTAACTAGACACTTGACTAGATCTAGACTTATTACTCTTCTAGATCTGGACTCTGTCCTATGACACTTAACTTAAGGGCCACTCTTGATGAAAGTTACTCGAGCCCGCAGCTGTTGTTTAGATCCCTGTCGCTTACCTATCTGTATGATGAAGCAAGTCTCACTGCAGTGTGTGTTGAGATCT